TCTGGGGCCTGGATCTCCTCCATACCTGCTTCATACCCTGGGAGACGGGGCTATGGCTCTCTGCGTCCTCTAGCAGATCGTTACATGGAGAAACCTTTTGAATACAAGCGTGCTGATCCACACAGGTGTGCACACAGGTGTTTACAGACACAAACTGCACCTTTCTGGTGGTGCTGCTACCTCAAAGCACATTGTGCGCTGTCTATCTTGCGTGCTGCACAATAACATTTAATATTTAGTATCTACTGGTATCTACTGTTAGCAAGTTTATTGTGATGGTGTTGTATTTATTATTTTGCTCTTTTTTGTTTGTTTTCTCTTCTGTTTTTTTTTTCTCCATACAGGTGATCCAGGTGTTTTGTTTGTTTTTCCTTCTTTCTTACACTTTTCTCACCATCTCTTCTCCCCTCTATTTTTCTTTCATTCTTTCTTTCTTTCTCCCTGTCCTATCCCCCGGTCATGTCTGTCCCATCTGTAACAACCGAAAATAAAATAAAATAAATACATAATTACAATAAAGGTCAATCAAGGTCAAGGACCAATATGGAAAGGACATGATGATCCACTTGGTAAAGTAAATCCACTTGGCATCTTTCTTGGCCTTCAGACAACAATTCTGATGGCTAAAGATCCGAACGGGACAACAACAAAAAAAAGAAAAAGAAAAAAAAAGAATGCTATGCAGTTGTCAGAGCTTTATCAGTGGGATTGTACTAGTTTTTAATGTGAAGGTTTTATATTAAGCTGAAGTTCATAATTTCTGGTGTGTAAATTGTTTCAAAGTCATATTATGTTTTATACACACTAAAACACACTATTGTGAAGTTTTACAGTCACAAACATATTACAATAATGCAGATTTTCAACCTTAATTCTATTAGTTAGAGATATAGTTATGATAGTGGAGTTTTTTTTAATCATAAAATACTTTCAAAGCATTAAAAAAAATTCAATTTCTCTCAGAGTTGGAGTGGAAACAGGTGTTGCCAGCCTTTTTTTCAATCTTTGGAATATTTGTTCTGTGTCAGTGATGTCAAATTTTGTTGACTTCTCATTTATGTTTTAGATTTAATAATTAGTTAGCATTAGATGATATTGCAAATTATTTAAAGCAGTTTATAGTTTTAAAACGTGGACTAAAAAGTATTTAAAGAAAAACTTAAGACTTATATATTTAATTAATATTCTTATATTTTGATGTTTTTAATTTATTTCTTGGGTGTTTGACATTGACTACTTAATGTTTTAGTGAACAGTGAAATGCACAATATTATATTTTTTCAACTCAAAATACTAATTGGGTTACCAAACTTGCTAAAAATGCTTGTAAAGCGTTGCCTTTTTTAAGTTGGAACTAATTAACAGTTTTTACAGCTCACAACTATTCTCTTACACTAGGCAGAAAAAATATAAATATGTCACGGGTTGCTCTGAGGATCCACTCGCAGGACTCCGGAGTGTGTTGTAACAGAGACAGTTTATTCACAAAAATCTTCACCAAGTGTATTTACAGGCAGTGC